CTTCATTGAATGTCACTTCTGAATTACATAGTTGACTGCACGAAAAATCATACCACATAATTGTAAAGTGGAAGTAAAGTAAGCCGGGGACATCAGTATCAAATGGAAGAATGACTAACTAATCAATAAGCAGTAAGTCAATCAAGCCCGGATACCGACAGCTGCGACATCTTAAGAACTATTCAATAACAACACCAAATATCCATTTGATATGTCCGATCGCATTCTGAATCAGAACCTTTTGAGAAGGTATATTCTTGACGTCGAGTCTGCTCCGTTATCCCCAAAATATGGGCTGTATTACCTTTGACCTAAACTCTTGATCACTAATTCCTCCCTCATATTGTTCTCCCTGAACAGCCAGTTAATGATAAGCTAGCTGTGGATGGGTTGCTGTCCCACCAGATTTCGGAGAATGTGGATTGTATTCGATCGGCTATCCTCAGTGGATAGCTATTTGAAAAATAAAGTAGAAGCGAAATGACTTCACTTCTACACATTTAAGTTAAATTTAAAGAGTTTGCAGTAAAACGTGGGAAGTGAAAAATTCCATCTCAAACAGTTTGATTTTTTATCGGACACATATTCTGATCACCAAAGAAACTTTGTTTCAAATAGCAACAATTAATTGATTACTGTGTGCTGGCCATAAAACATCCTTATGAAGTAACAACTTCAGGAAACATTGCATTTTGCACTGGAAATTTCTTCTTTGATGAATTGAGGGATTTCCTTCCGATTAAAAGTTGCAAAGAAACGTTTTTTTGTACGTTTTCTGTTGTTCCTTAAGAAAAAGAAGACAGCTACGCCTGTCTAAGAAAGCAAAGGTAATTTATCATCCGTTAGTCTCTCTAATATCATTTATTATTACACGCCTCATTTCATTCTATTTCTCACAGGCTTAATGACAGAATGTATTAATCAATTCCCCTTTGTCGAGCCAATTAATATAACCTGAAGTTCGGTGATTTTCTTTGATTCTTCCAGTGTAATTGAATGCGAAGAAGCGAATTGTTTTAACTTACACATAGGTAAATTGGTTCATTGATTTCAATGGGAAATGAGAGGGAAGATAGCCTTCTATGCATTTACTTCGTGTTCTGATCTATTCTTTATACTTGTAGTTTGATAATTAATGTTTGCATTAGCAGGAATACATCCCGGATTATTGCAGTGGGTTTCTGCGTATTGTTGGAGCTGAGTCACTTTAAGGCGGGAGCATATATAGATCTTGAAGCCAACAAAGGAACCTCCAGGGATAGGCCTGACATTGATGAAGCCATACTTTTATTTTTACCAATGCATTCTCCTACCTTCTTTTTCTTTTTCCTTTCTGTGTAATTTTAATACCGATACTTCTCCTCCTTCTTATTTCTCCTTCACTTCCTCTCTGAGACAATCACGTATTACATCACATTACTGTGACCCTCTGCTGACCGTTGGATACTGTAAAGCTTCATAATCATTCTTCTTGTCGTGCGTATAAAGAGCTCACATTTCCTTTTCATCATGGGAACGAAGGAGAAAAAAACGACAACTATTGAAGGAAACAAAAAGGAACTGCGAGAGTGGAACTAAACAAGTAATAAACCAATGAAATGATAATGTAACTGAATTTTTTGTATACAAATATTCAACTACAAAGGAATGGAAGGAGAAGAAAGGATGGCTGTTTTCTTATATATTGCAAATGATTCTCTTTATCAGTCTTAAAAGTCATTAATTTATAGTTACTTTCCATGTTCATTTTCCATTACATTAATTTCATTTCTAATTGTGTGGGCAAATTTTGAGAACAGTGTCTGGAGCAAGAATTAAAGATAGAATTCAGCAGTTGTTGCAAAGAGCAAGCAAACATCGATGAGTGATTAGACTCCCTTGGTACCTCTGCTTTCTAGTTATTAGCTGCGTAAGATGGTGCGGTGATGCATCTCTATTACACATTGCGCTCATACAGCAAGTAAACAGATGACTGATGATGGCCTTTGCTTCTGATGTTCGTTTTCAGCATATCATACCAGAAGCGCTCCATCGTGCTGCGCTTTTCTCATCACGTAAGAGCGACTAATTTCGAAACTGTAAGCAGTTTCAGTACTATACTATTTTAGTTCCTTAACGTCGTTTCTATCTGATAATTTCAACTATCGATTTTGCTGAAAAGCTGTCATTAGTATTGATGAAAAACTACCAGTAGGTTAAGAAGAAATATTTTTTTCATGAAACAATCAGTAGAAAAGATTTCAGTTTGATGTATACTTTAGCTATCAAGAAAAGTTTGAAAAGTTTAAATGCAATCAAGGATCTCAGATTAGATCTTTATTAGTTCATAATATGAATTTCTCTTAACTACAAGAGTACCTTCCATCAAACATTTCTGTTCTCTTATTTTGAAACCTTCATATCAACATCTAAAATTATCATTTATCATGACTTCATTTCAAATTATTTATATAACCAGTATTTGTCTTTATTAATCACTTTTTCATCTTCCTCATCCTTATTACTATACTTTTACTTTTTGAAATATTTGACAGCTGTAGTCTGTACTTCATAGTTTTCTTATTGACTCCGATTTCAAACTCCGAATACATTTCTTATCTTTTTTAGAAAGTTTTTTTTTTTTTTTTAAGGAAATACGACTTATGGCAATGATATTCGTTCAGAATTGAAACTGAGCAGTAAATTTGAAACAAACAAATTGTGAGTGTTTAGATCAAAGTTAAATCGAGTTTTGAGTTTAAACATTCCCATAGTTTTATCCGAGTGTAGCAAGTAAGAAAGTTTATTAGTGAATATCCATTAAAAGCACTGTTCAAAAATAGTAGCGAATAAAGAGACATGACTTGTTCAGTTTTATTCAAAAGTAATGTTTCGTTTATATCAAATGTCAAATTTCGCTCCTCCTTTAAGCCATGCCATTGCATCATATGCTGGCACTTTTTTTTGCTTCAAGCTTCTTTAGACAGCTTACTTCGAGACGAAACCACTTCCTCTATTTGTTGTTTCTCTATTTCACAAATAAACTTCCAAGTTTTCTTCAAAACATTAATACTTCAGAAGACATTAATAATGTAGAAACAGGAGCTGATGGAGTTATTGATCTGATAGTAATTATTCATACTAATCAATCAATTAATGAGAGTTTATAATTTTAAAGACAAAACAAATTTTGTGAAACAATTCTTTCAAAGATAAGAACTCTCTAATCTTCTTTTCCAGCTCATTTTCTCGTTTCGTTAAGATTTGAATTGATTGGCATAATGCCTTTCTCTATTAAACCCAGTTGATCGATTTGACGCTATTTAGATTCTCTCTTTAAATGCATCGCTTTTTTGTGCTCTGTAAAAAAAAAATTGCTTTTTACTACACTCTTGCTCTGAAAATATATAAGAGAAATCGGCGTCTCTAACAAGCATTTAATTGAACTACTTAAAGCAGAACAGGTTGAAAAGAGCTCATGGATGCTATATTTTCGTTTAGAGTCACAAGATCATATCATCATCCTTCTTCATTCAGCGTCTTTCCAATCCGTTGAATGGCTCTCACATGCGATAGTTCCTTTTAGCCATAAACAAGTAACACTAATTAGGCGTTTGTTTCAAGTTGTGCAGTAACTTTATAAGCTGCCGAATTGAAGTGTATTATTGCTTCTAATTTTGAATTTATCTGTCCGGCACAATTTACTTTTCACTCACTGATCTTTTTTATCAGTTCACTGTTCTCCTGCATTAATGTTAAGTAATTATTTTAATAAATGATGAAAATACTCAGCTCAATAATCATGCTAGAAGTTCAAATGGAAGAAATCTTTTCGTAATTAAGAGACCGAAGGCTGAGTTTATGACATTTGTTTATCAAGTTGAAAAATTGAGTTATTCAAAAAGTCGAAAATATGCTAGCCTGATTTTCGCAATTTACCTCTCTTTGACTGACATTCTGAACTTTGCCGTTTTCGATTTTTGATTCACTGAGAAACAGCTGCGTATTGTCAAACTTAATTTATATAAATCGTGCTAACCAGATAATCATGTTATATAAGATAGTTTTTGTTATCGGTTGTAAAGTATTTTTTGAAACCGTATGCGCTTATTCAATTTACCTGACCTATTCCAAGAACTTAAGAATAATGATAGGAATAGCACGAGGAATTACATTGTTATCATAGAGATCAGTATGTAAATTGTTTTTCGGAGTAAATTAATAGCTACTTTAACATGTTGATATAAGTATTAGCTTCTTGCTTTCCAGTAATTCCAATCTTCTCAAATGAAGCTCATGACAATTGATAAAAGATTTTACTGCAATTGATTATCAGTTCTCTCAACTCTACTTGTTTTAGAAGTAAAATAAAAAAAGGATATTGAGATAATATGCATTTTTCTTATACTTAATATCTTTCCATAACATAAATGTCAACATTTTTTTGTTAACTTGCTTTAACTATAGAACAAATCAGGATTAGTATCATCTAGACCCCGAAAACCATATCCTAAGAATTTTTATCAGATCTGCAAAAACAACGACGCTATCAAAATCACTTCGTTTTTTAATTGCTATTCTATTAGCAATTCTGAATATTTTCATTTCTGATTTCTAATTTTTTTTTCTCAGATAATTTGTCAAATGAGCATTCAAAATTTGTAATTTTTATTGCAAACAATCAATCGGCCACAGTAGAGTAAATGTTGGAGATTCTAATGTTTCCTGAATTTTCACTATTCGGCTGACCTAGTCCCAAGATTCCGGTCAGCAGATTAATAACTCTTTAGCAAAAATTTGATTTATTTACAGGAGTTAAAGAGCGTATGGGACTAAAAATACGAAGTCCATAGCAGTACATTTTTAAAAATTTCTGAATTCATTTCTTAAACTTCGAAAATTGATAATTGAGAAAACTTGGGCTTTATCAGGCAAAATAATTATTGCTTCCAAGTGTGGAATAATTCCTTCAAAGTAATCATTACATGCTTCACTTTTCTTGGTTATACCTTGCTAAAAATTCACTTCGAATGTCTTTTCTGTGTTTGATCGAAATGTCCAGGGATGCTTTTTTTCTGACTTTGCCAAGCGTAAATCACAGCAATAAAAGGAGAGAAGAGTTGACCAGTTGATTCTTTGGCCAGTTTTCGTGATGAAATTGGATATTTGCATAATGGAGTGTCTTCAGCAGTCGAGATACTTTCGCCAGCAGGCGGGACTGAGAGCAGAAGTGTTACTCCCAGGAGAGACATTCTCTAACATTTTTCAATCAACGTAAAAGGTCCCTCCTAATAGCATTCGCTAATTCAGAGAGAGACAGGAAGAACACACACAGAGAGAGAGAGAAAGGGAGAGAAGTGATCTAGTCGATGTTTCCTGATAGACATGGATTAGCTCATTTACACTTCTGGAGAACCAAAATTAATGGAAATATGGCCGAAAACAAGAGGTGCTGTGAGTAGGATAAGACTGATTTGGTTTAAAGGATTCCCTTGAATGGTAGTTCTCTTTTCCGTCTTTCGATTCCTTCCATTTCAATTGTCGTACGGAAAGGAATTGTTAATTTTTTTTTCAAAAAATCGAGTTGAAAATAATGTTTGTTTCTTTCATGGCCTCACGTAAATGTTTCATGTTGACTCTTCTCCAAAATTGTCTTTTGACTTAATGCAATGAAAAAGAACAACTATTGCCAAAGAGATAAGGAATTTCTTTTATATTCTATCAATTTTTCGTCATGTAGAAAAAATGAAGAAGTATTGATACAATAAATGATGCTTATCTACAGCTGGGATAGCAATGAAGAGATGATGAAATGAACGTCTTTTGGCAAATTCTTTTGATTTCTATTCAAAACACTTCAATTTAAACTTATTAGTCAAAATATTAAAATGCAGCAGAATTATTGAGGTTGAAAAACTCGGAAATCCACGGGTTGGTTAAATATGAATGATTAATGCTTATGTAATCATTGGCTGTTTTTGCAGTAATAAATATTTCTAGCAATTTGTTTTAAAACTGTGCTTCAATTAGATAACGGTAGCAATTATTGAAATAAGATGAGTAGGTCAAATTGGTATTTCAATAGCAGTTCTTGTCATAACTCGCAGTGGTTGTTGGTACCTTTAAATTTAGTTTATCCTTTCCTTACGCAGAGAAGAAAAAAAGAATAGTTCTATGCATAATGCATAAACACTTACTCATTGTATAATTAGGATGATGCTATTTTAAGACCAAATAAATTAATTTGGTAACAAGCAAAGGAAGGAAAGAATGAAAGAGATATATGGAAAAGGTCAGCTTAAAACAACAAATGCTATTAACAATTGACCAATGACAAGTAATGAATACTTTTCAGTCTCAATAAGATTATTAAATGCAGTTTGAAAAAATAATGCTATAAATAATAATGAAACAGTTTGAAAGAGATGCAATCAATAAATGTTTACTTTTTGATCACTTTTCGAAATTTTAAGCCGAAGTTTTTCAAACGTTTAAAATTTTTGAATTTCTGTTTAAATCAAAAAAAAAAAAAAAAATGGGCATATCGTTCCGGTATTTGATAGAAGTAATCCTATTGCCATCTTAATCATCGATTCCTCTGCTAACTGTATTTTCATAAGCAATGTAAGTCAGACGTATTTCTTCAAAATACCTTTTCACTAAACTTTTTTGAATATATTGTTTTGTAAAGAACAAAACAACTTCGTAAAAAACGAATAAGAAAACTGTTAAATGAGAGACAACCAACGATTAGCTATCATAATGTTTCCATTGATATTTATATATATCATTTTTTCAAATTACGTAAATGTGGAAATTTTGGAAAAAAAGCGACATTCGATTATTCTTCCTTCTTGATGCTTTTGACTGGTCCTATTATGCCTGAAATATTATTGATGGACATTGTTCGAGAAGAAGAGATTTGAGGAGTATTGTGTCCTTTCCCCTCTCTTCCATAAAACTGAATGAAAGCTTCAAGACCTCAAGTACAAATAATCCTGGCATGATCAGTGAAGGGATTTCCTTTCTTGTTATTATGTTATTACTGTATTACTCCTTGTTGTTGTCATTGTTTTTTCATTATTATTATTATTATCACTAATTATTATCATTATCATTATTAATTATTATTAATTGTTACTATTATTATTATTATTGTTATTATTATTATTATTATTATTAGTAGTAGTAGTATTAATATTATCGTTATTGTTACTGTTATTATGAGTATCGTATTTGTTATTTTTGTTGTTTGCAAACTTCTTTCTACCATTCTTTTTTCTTTTTAAGAGATTACTTGAACGAATTTGGAAATTGTTGTTCATTGTCCATGATTTATGCAATAGATTTCATTGCTACTCCCAAAGGAGTTATGATCTCCACGAGTTTTTACAAATTATGGCTTAAGTATGAGACAAACTTGTACACTTCCTACTTCTTTTTATTGTTTTTTTTATAACGCTTTCATACACATTACACACCTATTTTTACCGTTTTTTGCTTATTTTGGTATGAGAATGACAACTTCTATTGTAAATGGTAATGACACAAGCAGAGAAACAGAGCAGACTTTAATCTTAATTGAATAATTTGAATAGTAGTGAAATTGACTTAACGAATGACTTAATGTATATGATTCACTCGTGTCATCGTTTATATCAGCTGAAACAGTTCTAGGGTCACGTTCATTGAAAATTAAGATTAAATCACAGAAGCAAATTTGTTGAGATTTTCGCCTTTTTATCATGCTAAAATCCTAGTGATCAACATAAAGCGAAAAAAAGTAATCAGAAAAGTAAAAAGAGAATCTTCATCACTGCCACTGCTGGAACATTATAAAATTGATAAAAAACTTCAAGTCTTTTAGCTGCAGGAAAAGTTTATTTTCGGTTTTTTTTTCAATTAGTCTTTATATTCTTCTCTTAACCCTTAACGGCATAAAAGAAACAAAGGGGTCTATGTCATATGAAAACATTGTCCTTCAGTAATATTCTTCCTATGATAAAGTTAACTGTTGTAAAACTGAAGTTGCCGTAATAGATAAGGATGTGGCCTAGAGCTGCCGGAATAAGGAGAATAACTTTAATCTTTAATAACTTGACTTTTAATAACTTTAATAAGTTAATCATCCTAAATTTAAATCTTAAAAAAACTAGCTTAAATTTAAAATAATTAGTTGTTAATTTACTTTCGATGGGTAATCACGATTGGCAACATTTCACAAGGTAGCCAAAACAGGTCATGCGAGCGTAAAACTTATGAATAGAAAACAGAAACTGGTAAAATGACACATGACTTTTTGGATTTTAATTAATTTACTGAAATGAAATATGGAGAAACACAGAGAAACTTCTTGATTATTAATTCAAGTGTCTTCAGCATCAGAATTTCCTGTCTTCAAATTCTGAAATTTTTAGAACTTTTTCACTCGCTGGATACGTCATTTATCTTGTAGAGCATTATTCACTGAATTCCAGATAATTTAAGAAGACTCATGTCCCATAATCATTTCTCCTTGATAACAGCATATATCTTTCATTTTTCATCCTATAAATCGGAATCTGTCCCAGATTTCAAATTCATTGATGTTTTACATGCGTTAAACCGTCCTGTAGGAATGGAAAAAAATTGTTGTCCTGTAGGAAACCAAAAACGAATGCATACGCTTGTAAAATAGCTTTTTGCGATGTTTTAATTTCATTCAGAAATTTTGATTTCTTGACTTACGGATCACAGTTATTAAATGTCACTACTATGTGACGGATAAAAAAAGCGGAAGACAGTTTGGTTAACTTACAGTGAGTAATATTATCTTGGAGACAATAATGCATTTACGGAAGCAGTGGCGACTTGTACGGAAGAGATATAAGCAGTGGTGATGGACAACTGTGAAAATGAACCATTACGGTTATTTGCGGGTCGATTCCGATCCAACACTATCTTCCGAACCTGCCAGCAGTAAATATGGTACATTATTAATGGGATAAGTTTAAATTAAATTCCATTTTATTAGTTCGGGCAATGGAACTTCAGTTGTCTCCATATTGCGGTTATTTGTAGGTCATTTTTACATCGAAGTCGTTTGTATTTGTATCAGTTATTTTCTTTTTCACTTCTTTTCTTAAAGAAGATTGAAAGGACTAACGATCTGAATCTGGCAAGAATGCAAATTCTTACAAAAATAGACCAGCATTGTAATATGTTTAATACAATTTTCCTTTTCATAGCTAATTGATAATAAGAAAAAGATCTTTGCAGCGCGATACAAATATTCAGGTGATGGTGAACTTGGTCCATATAATTCAAACTTGACTGATGATCCTGAACAATACGAACTGGATGATCATGTGGGAGAGATGTCGCAAGCATTCATTCGAAACGTCAGTTTATATTTAAATTCAAGCAGTTTGAATTATTCCCTCTCTACCACATGAATCAGTCATTTATTAATCAAAAATTCCTAAAACTCTTCTTTTTCATATGCTAAAATATCATTAATGAATTATTAATCAAATTTAAACAATGAAACATTTCGGCTTATCTTTCCGTTTTATTGCATCTTTGATTGATTATTTCTCAAAGATGCTCAGAGCTTTAGTCCATGCGCTTAATTTTAAAGTTATCTTTTTCTGCTCATAAAAATTCACCTGCACTATTTTCTTTAAAAAGTACTTTGTTTTGATTTCGGAAAAACAATGAGTAATGGTAACTCCTTATTTAGAGTAGTAAATAACAATACAAGAAAGAATGAGTTGAATCTTCTGTATTGATCTGATTTTTTAATCGTCTTGCGATTTACTTGCTTGAATTTTATGAAGTCAAGTCAAAGTTTTGAAAACCTGACAAGATCGTTTCTATCTTCCCTTTTCTCTTTCTTTACTCTTGTATCTTTCCTCTTTTGTCCTTTCTTTTGTGCAGTGTATCAAGTATTTCATTTCCTGGTTTTTCTAACAAAATTTTAAAGTCTTTTAAAAAAACAATTGTGAAGAAAAAGTGCAGTCCTTTAAAACAAAATAACAACTTATATACGTTTGTCATTTATGTTTTCTGCTTTAAAAACTCTTGAATACTTCATTTACCTTTTAAAATAATTAGCGTATTTGAATTACTTCGGAAAATGCGGTGCGAGATGTTTTCGTAAAAAACTGCGTTGCAAAATATTGGTCATAAAGTTTCATAAAGGTTGACTACACTTTTTGCATTACTCTATGCAGTTCAAATTTTTATACTTACAAATGAAATCAAATTTTAC